ATGCCAATTAATTTCTGAAGGTTGAATAAATGAAATGATATCATTGTGAAGTACATGCCCGTAACTATTTTTTTTAGGTTTTTATTGCAGAGAATTTCAAATACATAGAAAAATAGAGTGAACAAATAGAAATAGTGAATTTTTTCTATGTAGTGAATACATAGAAAAATAGAGTGAACATGAATTCCATGTATGCATCACCCCGCTTCAATGATCCCAGCAAGTGGTGCTTCATCAACAACTCCATTAAAAAAGATTCTGTACCCCAATTCCAACATGGGGAATTCCCACACATCTGAGCAATTCTTAGACACCACCTGGTGTCCCCTATCATTCAACTCAATTCTGACACTATCTATTGAGATAGTACCGGATTCCACAGGTTAAGCTCCACAAGACTGAACCCCCTACCACCACCACCACTACACACACACACTCACACATACACACACACACACACACACACACACACACACACACATTTAAGACCCTAGTGTCAGGGACCCTGGGTGGCTCATAGGTTGAGCATCTGCCTTCAGCTCAGGGCGTGATCCCGGGACCCTGTGTTTGAGTCCCTGCATGGAGCCTGCTTCTCCCTCTGCCTGTGTCTCTGCCTCTCTCTCTCTCTCTCTCTATGTCTATCATAAATAAATAAAAATAAATCTTTAAAAAATAATAATAAAAATTTACAAATAAATAAATAAATAAAATAAATCATAATATCACACCCAAACACCTCCACCTTTTCTCATTATCTCAAATCGAATCACATCATTTCATCCAAAATATTTCAGTGTATATTTCTAAAATGTAAGGACTGTTTTTTAACATGGCCATTACATTTTAATTTTACATTTTAATTTTAAATATACTCCTGTACCTGCCTGTATTCATGTCTGGCTTCTGAGGATTCTAGAATCAAATCACATTAAGACTTAATCAGGGATCCCTGGGTGGCGCAGCGGTTTGGCGCCTGCCTTTGGCCCAGGGCACGATCCTGGAGACCCGGGATCGAATCCCACGTCGGGCTCCCGGTGCATGGAGCCTGCTTCTCCTTCTGCCTATGTCTCTGCCTCTCTCTCTTTCTCTCTCTGTGACTATCATAAATAAATAAAAAAAAAATTAAAAAAAAAAGACTTAATCATATCAGACTTAACAATGCCCTTGCAAATCCATTCCCCATTATCAGCATATCGATCAACATAATGTCTCCGTTATTCAATTAAATTATGCTCTTCATGATTTGGATCCTATCTATTTCACCAATCTATCTATCACTCATTGCTCTTCTCCAACACACACACACACACACACACACACACACACACACACACACCACTTATGCTCAGGATATACACAGGATGTCTTCTTCTCTAAATATGTCATAGCTTTTTATTTTTTAATTTTTTAAAGAAGATTTTATTTATTTATTCATGAGAGACACAGAGAGAGAGGCAGAGACACAGGCAGAGGGAGAAGCAGGCTCCATGCAGGGAGCCCAACGTGGGACTTGATCCTGGGTCTCCAGGATCACGCCCTGGGCTGAAGGCAGCGCTAAACCATGGAGCCACCCTGGCTGCCCTGTCATGGTTTTTTAAACCTCTGTGCTTTTGCAAATGCTGTTCCCTCTGCCTAAAATCACCTAATCCCTCATACCTAGTGGACAAATTCCTATTTATTCTTCAAGATGAAGATTAAATAACCTTCCTGATACTGTTTTATTTCCTTCCCACCCCTTCAAATAATTAATTAGAATTAATTAATCAGGGATGCCTGGGTGGCTCCGTGGTTGAGCATCTGTCTTTTGCTCAGGGCCATGATCCTGGGGTCCTGGGATCAAATCCCGCATCAGGTTCCCTGCATGGAGCCTGCTTCTCCCTCTGCCTATGTATCTGCCTCTCTCTCTGTGTGTGTCTCTCATGAGTAAATAAATAAATTTTTTTAAAAAACATGCGGACTCAGGAAATGTCAAACATTTTCATCAAGAACTCAGACCAAAGTTCTGCTAGCTGGACAACACAATGGGTTATCATTCATTAACAGTGAAAGAAGAAAGTCTGCACATTCTTTGGGAGGCCAGCAGATAGAAACAGGTTTCATAAATCATCAAGTTTCCAACAAGCTGGGGAACACCAAATAGCTTCCTACCCTACCCTGTCTGTGGCTCAGTAACCACCTACTGGGCTCTGGACTAGAGGAAATCAATGCAAACTCATAACACATGGCTAGGCAGGCTCGCTCCACAAGCCTAAAAGACAGGGGTCTAGGGACACTGGGTAGCTCAGTGGTTACACATCTGCCTTCGGCTCAGGGCGTGATCCCAGGGTCCTGGGATCGAGTCCCGTATGGGGTTCCCCACATAGAGCCTGCTTCTCCCTCTGCCTGTGTCTCTACCTCTGTGTCTCTCATAAATAAAAAAAATCTTAAAAAAAAAAAAAGACAGCGGTCTATCGGTGGAGAAGCAATGCTTGGTGTAATGCAACCCCACTGAGCATAGAGAATGAATCATGTAAATAGAAAGAAAGCCACGAACAGACAAATATGTAAGAAGAGCTAAAATGAGATCAATGGGACAGGCTAAAGGCTGTGCATGAGGCAGTACAATGTAACTCAGAGTGGGCACTTATGAGAATAACTGACAGGCTCCTTTGGTGTCCATCGAAAGATGAATGGATTAAAGAAGATGTGGTCTATGTATACAATGGAATATTACTCAGCCATTTGAAACGACAAATACCCACCATTTGCTTCAACATGGATGGAACTGGAGGGTATTATGCTGAGTGAAGTATGTCAATCGGAGAAGGACAATCATTATATAGTTTCACTCAAACGGGGAATATAAAAAATAGTGAAAAGGAATATAGGGGAAAAGAGAGAAAATGAGTGAAAATATCAGTGAGGGTGACAAAACATGAGAGATACAACTCTGGGAAACGAACAAGGGGTAGTGGAAAGGGAGGTGGGCAGGGGTTGGGGTGACTGGGTAACGGGCACTGAGGGGGGCACTTGACGGGATGAGCACTGGGTGGTATGCTATATATTGGCAAATTGAACTCCAATAAAATTTTAAAATATATAAATAAATAAATAAATAAATAAACAAACAAACAAACAAACAACTGACAGGCTCCTGAAGCCTCAAACCTCGTAAGGCCAAAGCCAGTGCACACTGCCACCCTGTGCCCAGCCTAAGGCCGGAGAAGTTCGGCACAGGCACTGTCTCCAAGAGGCTGCCAGTCTCACTGAGGGGTTCAGACAAGTCATTACTGTCCATGTCTGAGAAGCCAGTGACCTGAGGCTCTCCCCAACCACTGACAACAGCAGTAGCTTCAAGCAGACCATCAGCCTCAAATACGCAAGGAAACACACATTTCCTCAAATACAGTGAGGACGGATTTCCAGACCTCCCCCGATGGACACTAGTCCTGACCTGTGACTCAGAATCACTGACCCCTGCTTTCTGGGTGGCACTGTGGTACCAAAGGCAGAGAAAATAGGATGTTGGAGACAAACATTGCAATGAATTTACTGGGAAGGCTGATTCTTTCTCCACACCCTCCCAAGGAGACAGAGCTGGATTATGGATTTCGACCCTTAAACTTGTCCACACAACACTCAGGTCAGGGGATATGCCCTCCACCCCAAGGGTCACGCAGCTTTCAGTCCCTGCTCAGACTTCAGAACAAGTGGCCTCAGCTTGCGTCAGCCTTTCTCAGCATGCACTGTGAAGTGCCCTGTCTCCTTGTTCATGTCACTCAGAATTCACAGTCAAAATCCTCTTGGCTACCAGGGGGAAAAAATCTGCTAAGTTCAGGTGCTTCACTTGATGGGATGAGCACTGGGTGTTATGCTATATGTTGGCAAACTGAACTCCAATAAAATAAATAAATAAATAAGTTCAGGTGCTTCAAAGTAAATTGTGGGAAAAAAAAAAGTAAATTGTGTACATTAGGAGACCACACACACAAAAATCATTGCTAGAGAATAGACTCTGGATCCCTTGCATCTGGCCCTGCGAGGGGAACAGGACTGGGAGTGGAAAAGACCCTAGTGGAAGGGTATGTGCTTTGACAAGGCAGCTCCGAGGCCCAACGCTGACCACTGAAGCACTGCCCTTCTGTGGGTCAGAACAGGTCTCCCATCCACCAGGCATCCGCTGGCCTGTCTTGGGGAAAGAGAGGACCAAACGGTAAAGAAGCAAAGGCTGGTAACCCCCCCCTCACCCCTAGTTCCAAAAGTACAAAAGCAAGTTTTCCTTCAGGGCCAGCCTTAGGAGATCTGATTTTGCATAAGAGGGAAAAACCTGTTCACCTAAACTCTCTTTGAACTTCTCCATCTATGTGTTTCAGAAGAGGCATCCAAAATCGCCTTCACCAACTTACTCTTTTGTTAGGATTGACCTCTTACCTTCACTTGTGTAAGAACAAATATAAGCTGGTACAGAGGTTGTGGAGATCAAGCACATGCAAGAGAACAAAACTTACTAGGCTTAGGCAGATGTCACCTTGGGTAGGAGGGGTGAGTCTGTTTCAGGCCCTGTGGGCACTGCACAAAGGCAGCTTGACAAGCTTCTGGGTCAGAGGAGAGTCAAAGGTAACTAGGCCTACTGTTCCTGACCAATGCACTAATTTTTTTTTTGAGATTTTATTTATTCATTTGACAGAGAGAGAGAGAGAGAGAACAAGCAGGAGGAGCAGCAGAGGGAGAAGGAGAAGCAGGCTCCCCACAGAGCAGAGAACCTGACATGGGGCGATCCCAGGACTTAAGCAGATACTTAATCCACTTAATGCAGATACTTAACTTAAAGCAGATACTTAATTCACCTCCAGGTGCTCCCCCCACAATGCATTTATAATATATTTTATGATTTAAAAAAAGAACAGTTGTTCTAGGGAACCTGATTTTATGCATCCCACATACATTATAGCAGACAATCTTATTCAAGTGAAGAGGAAACTGGTCACAGCTAAATAACAACAAAGATAAATCGGACTCACGTTTCTCCAGTGCTGGATTCCTAGGAAATGAGACTCTTCTCTTCCTGCTTATTTCCTGAATAAAAATGCAGCATAAGGTTCTGACCACAAATCTCTTTACGAAAGATCTTGTGAGTTCTGCAAGAGGAAGAGCCAGAAGGAGAGGTGGAAATGGACATCAAGGTCCAGACACAAGAAAGACAGGAACAGTCTAGCTTCCCTCTGCCCACTGGTAGGACTGGCACAAAATAAGGGTCAGATGCAAAGTTCCCTAAGACTGCTTCCCTTGCGAAACGTTTGACTTCTGCCTCATTTCAGCACTGCAGAGGAATAAACACGTCTTCTTCGCTGGCTTTAATTCTGCAAAAGCTTCAGATCAGACAGGAAATCACCTCCACCTGATCAGCAGAATGCGAAGGAGAGGGAAGGGGAAGAGGATTTACTGAGAGAACAAAATGCAGACACAGAGGAGCTGACTCAGGTGTATTGCAGACTCTGCAAAACAGATCCTGCTGTCTTCAAAACAAGTAGACAAAGTCACCAACATGCCCAGAACAGTCACAGAAGAGTCCTGTTGCCCAATATCAAGGGAACAAAGCCAACAATTTTGAATTAAAATCCTCATAATTAAAACTAAATAGAGGTTCCAAAACTCAGAAGAAAAAAAGGTAAAAGAAATAGTTAAGAAGATGAGGCAAAAAAAGCAAAGAGGTTGAAAAGGAAGGGATCCAGAATGGAAATAAATAATGCAGAAGGTTTAAAATGTAGTCCTGACTGAACTCAAAAGGGGTTGCATACCCCCTTTCATCCAATTTTTGAGTTAATCTCAAAAGCAAAAAAAGGAATATGGCTTCCATCTTGGCCCAGCCTTCTCCCACTGCTCTAAGGAAGGGCAGTTGCCCATGTTGGTAGCTGCCCTATAGTGACTGTGAAAAAATAAATGTTTGTTGTTTTAAGCTGCTAAGTTTGGTGGTAATTCATTACACAGCAATAGATAGCTAGTATAACAGCTTTGAGATAGGCAAAACGTTCTTTAAGAATCCCCAAAGCGTGAACAATATAAGGAAAACATGATAGAATGATTTCATCAAGATGAAAACCTTCTGCTCTTCAAGATACCCTTGTGGGACACATGGGTAGTGCAGTCAGTTAAGCATCTGACTCGTGATTTCTGCTCAGAATCAAGATCTCAAGGTGGTGAGATCAAGCCCCCCCTGCATGGGGCTCCACACTGGGCATAGAGCCTGCTTAAGATCCTCCCTCTCCCAAAGGGGAACCCTCCTGCACTGTTGGTGGGAATGCAAACTGGTACAGCCACTCTGGAAATCTGTGGAGGTTCCTCAAGAAGTTAAAGATAGAACTACCCTATGACCCAGCAATTGCACCACTCGATATTTACCCCAAAGGTACATACGCAGTGAAACGCCGGGACACCTGCACCCCGATGTTCACAGCAGCAATGTCCACAACAGCCAAACTGTGGAAGGAGCCTCGGTATCCTTCGACAGATGGATAAAGAAGATGTGGTCTATATACACAATGGAATATTACTCAGACGTCAGAAACGACAAATACCCACCATTAGCTTCCACGTGGATGGAACTGGAGGGTATTGTGCCGAGTGAAGTAAGTCAGTGGGAGAAGGACAATCAACCTATGGTTTCACTCAAATGGGGAATATAAGAAATAGTGAAAGGGAACATAAGGGAAAGGAGGAGAACTGAGTGGGAAAAATTACAGAGGAAGATAAACCATGAGAGAGACTCCTAACTCTGGGAAACAAACAAAGGGTTGCAGAGGGGGAGGTGGAGGGAGGATGGGGTAAGTCGGTGACGGGCATTGGAGAGGGCACTTGATGGAATGAGAACTGAGTGTTACACTATATGTTGGCAAATTTAATTTATTTTTTGTAATTATTTATTTATTTACTCATGAGAGACAGAGAGAGAGAGAGAGAGAGAGAGAAGCAGAGACACAGGCAAAGGGAGAGCAGGCTTCACGGGGAGCCGGATGGGGGACTCCATCCGGGATTCTGGGGTCACGCTCAACCGCTGAGCCACCAAGGCGTCCCATGGCAAACTGAATTTAAATAAAAAAGTAATTCATTAATTTTTTTTAAAAACCATTTAACCAAATTTAAAAGGGGGGGGGGTGACGCCTAGGTGGCTCAGTGGTTGAGCATCTGCCTTCCGCTCAGGGGGTGATCCCGGAGTCCTGGGATCGAGTCCCCGCGTCGGGCTCCCTGCGAGGCGCCTGCTTCTCCCTCTGCCTGTGTCTCTGCCTCTTCTCTGCATCTCTCATGAATAAATAAATAGGAGGGCACTTGATGGGATGAGCACTGGGTGTTAAACTATATGTTGGCAAATCGAACTCCAATAAAAAAATATATACTACATAAATAAGTAAATAAAAATAAAAAATAAAATTCTGATTCTGATGGGAAAGATGAGAAAGTCAGACACAGCAACTCTGAATGTCCGAGGTTTTCCGAATCCTGTCCTGACTGCCCCGAGCTGGATTGCATCATTCATTCATGCTGTTTGGTAACAGGCAGCAAGGGGATGAAGCAAGGGACACCTCTTCAAAAGCACATTGACGAAAAGAAACGCCGAAACCCCGCGAAACTTTTTGTTTACCTACCCCGATTAATAAAAGCACAGGCAAAGTGCGAAGCTGTGCTTGCGGAAGAGGCCGAGCGGCAGAGGAGAAAGCTGAGCACAGGGAGAGAGACACACACGCCCAGACTCACCCCGCCGCCGGCTGCTCCTTCCTGGGCCGCCCCGGCCCCGGCCCCCGGCTCCCGGCTCCCGGCTCCCGGCCGCGCCTCCCCGCTGCAGGGCCCGCGGCTCGCTTCCCGTCCCCTGGCGGCGCTCCGACCCGGCGGCCGTGACCCGTGCGGGCCCGCGGGGCGTACCAGGCAGACCCCGGGAGCCGCGGATCGGCGCGGGGCTCAGCAGGCTGGCGGCGCGGCGCGGGGGGTAGCCGGCCCGCCCCGGGGTGGGGCTCCCCGCCCGCCCCTCCCCCGGCGGGGCTCGGCCCCCGCGGCCCCGGGCGCGCACCCCGCCCGCACCGCGCGGAGGAGGGTGGAAGCGCGCCCCGCCCGCACCCTCGGGGCAGGGGCCGGCCGGGGGCTCTGTGCTGCTGTGGCCGCGAACGAAAGCTCCTTAGGGACCTTTTCTGAATCCGCGTTTGACCTCTTGTTCTTGCCGGAATGGAGGTCTCCAAGAGAATTTCAGTAGCTGCTAATACTCGTACTACAGGTCAACTATACTGCAATTAAAAGAGCAAAGCTACTTATATTGGCAACTAAAATGCAGAAAACCATGAGTGGACAAACGAATCTACATTCTTTTTTTCTTTCTTGTCATCCAGTTTTCGTCTAGGGGTCACTTGCTAAGCTCCTTTTGAGTGGACTATAATAAATAAAGGGGGAGCTCTGGCTCAGCTGGCTGGAGCTGGGCTGGGGCCCCTCCCTAAAACACGGCCTGAAACCTCAGATGCCAACAGTCCTGCAGGCTCCCTCCAAGTGGTCCCTGGGGCGGAGGGGCCGCAGCTGCTGGAGCAGAGCCCACTTGGCCAGAGCATCCCTGCCTTTGGCTACAGAACCTCTCAAGAACACGATCCTGTCCAGAATTGTAAGAGTGCTGCTGCTCTTGCGCCAGGCGGACCCTTGAAGGTTAGTACTGTCAGATGTCATTTGTAAGAAAATGGTTGCAGGTTTGGGACACACCTGATTTAATTTCTCCCAGATCTGCCCAAGATGGTTCTGATCTGAAGAACAGACAGGAGGAATTTTGATGTTTTAAAATGTGAAGTAAAAAAATGATACCACGAATAGGAGGAGAGCAAAATAAGGGAGTCTAAAAACCAATCTAGTTAGGAAACTGTTTATATTTTGTAGTAATTTAGAACTAAGTATAATAAAAAAACAAGATGGGCAGCCCCGGTGGCACAGCGGTTCAGCGCCGCCTGCAGCCCAGGGTGTGATCCTGGGCACCGGGGATCGAGTCCCACGTCATGGAGCCTGCTTCCTCCCTCTGCCTGTGTCTCTGCCTCTCTTTCTGTGTCTCTCATGAATAAATAAATAATCTTTAAAAAAATAAAAATAAGAGAACAAGATGTTAAACACCAAATACTTGTATATGAACATAAATGGTAATTTATGTTCTAGTATTTCTAGGGGAAAAGAAACCCAAATACAATAACATGAAAAAGTAGAATTAATTTCTGCTATAATTCATATTTCAAAGATGTTTAATATGAAGCAGATTTCAAATAAAATATTTGTACTAAATAAAATCTGGCCTCTGTACTCACCTCCCATTCACACCTGTACTAGCACTTGTGGTCATAAGGTGGCAGGTTATAAACACAAACCATATTAAAAAAAAAGTGCTCAGAGGAAGCTAATGGGTGGTCACAGATACATCTAAGAATCACCAAGTAATCTTACCTGACAAGGCATAACTATACAAGCACATCATAATATGCTTCATTGTTCTTCTGGAATAATGTTAAATAGCACATGTGAATCAAATACAATGCAGGATAATAAAACAGTAGCAAATTATTTGCAAAGTTTTCATCATAATTGGTTAGTAAAAAGTAATAGAGGTAATACTAGTAGTGTTCCTGAAAGGTTTCCTATAGATCACATTTTTATAAGCTAGCATATTGACTGATGATTAACTATATTAGGATCATGTACATTTTAAAAATAATTCAGTGCTAATAAAATAGCCTTCTAAAATGGAGTAAATTGGAACAATCACTCCAGAAAACAATACAACATTCAGTAACACTGAACATGCACATTTTCTATAACCCAGGGATTCCACCTCAGGAATACACTCAGAAGAAACTCACACATGAGTAGCAGGAGTCACATATAAGAATGTTCACAACAATAGTGTATACATATAAAGAGTCATTGACCAGAAACTTAAAAAAAAGAGAATATTATTTAATATCATAAAAGGTACTTAAATAAAATTCAGGATGGTAGTTACTTCTGGATACAGGAAAGAAAATGAGACTGGGAAGAAATTATAGAGTTCTTTAATGGCAGTGAGTATACAGATATTTTTTTAATATCCATGTGTATGTGTATATATATTTTTGTGGTATTTGTATATCAA